ACAAACAGCAACATAGAAACTAAGGCACATAGCAAATAGCTTTTGGAAATGAGCATTAACCACAGAAACTACCGAAAGGATTATTGTTTATTGGCCAAAATTGTTTCTTTGTTGAAGTTATAAAGATACACCGTTCAGCTGGGAGAATTTGTTAGATTAATGATGGGTCATTGAGGAATAGAGAAGAGTGTTAAGAATAAAGCCATAGGAAGTTCTGCTTGTAGTTTTCTTGAATCATATATAGAGGAACCTGTAAGAAAATATATTTAGGGCTTTTAAAGTCTGAAGACAGTAGAAGGACCCTACATTTCTATTGTTGATGGATGTAGGATTCACAAATGTATGTATATTATTTCTTCCCCTTATATCGGATTTTTTTTTTTTTTTTTTTTTTGCACACCTTTAAAGGTATTTATATCCAAAATAAATTCTGTATAACTCTGCCACTCAATCTGCATTGCTTTTACTGCAAATAGACATATCTGCTTTTACAGTTTAACAAATTGTTGGTTATGATCAATTTCAGGACTGGTGAAATGTATTTAATACATACTCAATGAACTTTATAGTTGTTCCTGATATCTATTATTTTGAAGTTTATTGCCATTTTGTATACACTTAGTGTATACCAAACAAAATTCTGTTTCATACATAATTTTGACAGAGAAGGAGCAGCAGCTTATGATGAACATTTCTATTCATAAATGTCGCAGTGATCAAAATATAAACAGTGTAGGAGAGACATGGTGCAAAAGCATTGATGTCGAAGGTTCAGAGCAGTGCAAAAAATAAATAAATACATTTGGTGCAAAATGCAGTAGAAACACTGAATTTTGCATCCTGCATTTTATCTTGTCCGACGGCCGAAAAGCATGCGCATGAGGTTAAATGAACATAATATTAGCTTAATGTTTTAATGTCTAAAATAATGAATGAAACTTAAATATTTTATATGCCATTACAAGAATAATTAGGTGAAACTTGTGAATATATTGAATGAAAGTTGTCCTGAAACAATTATGGGTAATGTAGGTTCAAAGTGATAGATGATTGAAGACTTGAATGCCAGCAGGCCAACTCACAGATTTCATCTTGTTAAAGACTGTCATAGTGCTCTCAAGGGTTTATTGGGAAAATTAATGAACAAAGAGGTTAAATCAACATTTTGAAGAAAGGATTCAAGAGATAACTAAACAACTAAATGTTACAAGAACATAAACATTATCCTGTTGTGATTAAAATTATGCAGCTTTGATTTATAGAAAATGTGCATTAGCCAGGCAGTTACTATATTAGGACAAAGCAAAACAAGTGCCCCATTAAGCCTCCCATCGCTCAACTGGATCTGCTTCCATTGCAAGTCATGTGTTGTACCAACTCTGTGCCCACAAATAAGTGCGCTGTGGACATGGATTAGGATTTCGTGCTCACATCCTATAAATTTTGTGTACACAATTGAATATTTCCTACATACAAATTAGTATTTCCCCACCCCCAAATAGTATGTTGTGGCCACAAATTTGTGTTTTGTGGGAACAAAACGTACCTCTTTTATTTCAAATTCCCAGGGCCTGTACTCTTTTTAGTTTTCCTGGTCTCTATTCCCAAAGGCAGAAATGCAGAACACTCTGACTCCGTTCACTTAAACAACCACCTTAAATGGCCAAATCTGATGACATAAATCTTCAGTGAGTCAGAAAAAGGCTTTTTGTATGGATATTATGTAATAATGCTTTTATTTATACATCAGTTAGGTTAGTAAATAATTCATCAATTCTAAATGAAAACAAATGATTTAATCCCTTCAGAGCAGTATGACAGCCTTTAACAAACCAAATGTGTGAGCTGGCCTGCTGGCCTTGAAGTCTTCAATAATCTGTTTTGAAACTCCATTCCCCATAATTCTTTCATAATTCTTCCAATTTTCATTCAATCTATTCGGAATTTTTATTCAATATATGTACAATACTATTCTTAATATTCAAGTTTCATTCAATATACTCACAAAATCATTTCAGATATTCAAGTTTCATTTAAGTTAAATTAAAGTTAAATTCATTTAAGTTATTCTCAGAGTATCATTCTGAATATTCAGTTTCCATTCAATGGACTCAGAACATCATTCAAAATATGTCACTGTGTCATTCCATATATTTCAACTCATGTCTATATATAAAATTACATTCCCAAATCTCATATTTGCCTTATGTATGTAGTGAATAAAATATGTATTTTAGCACCCTATTTTGCAATTCCCCCCTCTTAGAAATCATGGAGGGGTCGTAAATTGTCATCGTAGGTGCATGTCCTCTGTGAGAGACATAATCTAACAAAAAAAAATCCAGAAATCACAATGTATGATTTTTTGTAAAAAATATATATATATATATATATATATATATATATATATATATATATATATATATATATATATATATATATATATATATATATATATATACACATAGATAGATGATACATTTTACTTATTGTTCCAGTCAAAAAATTGAGTAGAATAGTCTCTCAAGTTTTACCTAATGCTGATGAAGGAACATTGTTTGAACCATATAGAGATGATGTTTATCTCTACATTACATCTGATTTGAATTTAGTCATTGAAATATACTGTTTATTTCATTAAGCATTTGGTTATATTTTGTGGTTATGTTATATCACTTAATTAGGTTCTTTTAAATGTCCTGTGTTTAGTTAAGGTCATGTGCACAGTTTTGCTTTAGGGGGGCGCATGGCAGCTCTTTAGAGATTTTAATGGAGCAGGACGAGGAGCGACAGTATTCTGACCGTTAAGGTTATTTGTAAGTTTGACTGTCACTACAGATTTATTTGATGTGACAGACCATCTTTTTGTTTTTCTTTTTTTGTAAACACTTAATTTCATAATAAACTGATGTGTAATTTTTTTTTTTGTATTCGTTTTGCTTCAGTTCTTAAGAAAGGTTAACAAGTCAGACACTCCATGTCCTGCAGGAGTGGCAAAGTTAATTTTTATTGCCAGGAAAGAAATTTAGCCACTACAAACATGTAAGAGGAGAAATAATTTATCTTCAATTGTAATATTAAGCATTTTCACCTTGCATTTAGAAGTAACTACGTTAGGTAAATCAGTACATTTTAGATCTGTTCTGTTAGGGGCAGATAGGAAAAGAGAAACTAAAACTGAGGTATGTTTTGCCAGAAATTCTTATTTTTGACTCTTGACATTTTATTTCGCAAAATGTGGCTTAAAGTTAACTTGGTTATATTAATTGTTTATGTCATGTCTACAGGTACTTGTCCAAAGCCAGATATCAGTGCTCTTGGAATCAAAGATGGTGGGAGGCAGGTGGAGTGTACAGCTGTTGGTGCTTTTCCACAACCTAAGATGGAGCTGAGAAACGATGCTGATGTTACTTTTAAACCTGAAGTTTACAAAGTATTTCAGAACGGAAGCTACTTTGACATTATACTCCTCGCTGTTGTGTCTGAGGAAGGCTTCTACCATTGTGTTGTGACACAAGAAGACATCTGCCATCAAATTTCCTCAAAGAGGAGCAAGGTGCTCATGTCTTCTGGTGAGTTTCTTTGTTTGTTTCAGTTTTCCGAAAATATGATTTACTTTGTTTGATACGACTTAATCTCCTTTGAGTTTATATCAAATTCAAACATATTTTGTTTAGGTTGGTTTAAACATCTGGAAAAAGTATATTTTGATTCAAAAGAAAGAGCTACAGATGTTAAGGTTCTACAAAGATGAAGAAGGAAACAATACAATTTCAAATGTTAATCAGAGTAAACTACTAATTTCCAGAGGTGTCAAGTAACGAAGTACAAATACTATGTTACTGTACTCAAGTAAACTTTTTAGGTATCTATACATTACTCGATTACTTATTTTTCTTCCTACTTCTACTCATTACATTTTCACACAAGTATCTGTACTTTCTGTTCCTTACATTTCTAAAACAACCGTTTACCGTTACTCTTGGCTTCGGTTTAATGCAGAGGTCACGGATTAGTGGACCGCGGTCCGGTGTTAGGCCGAAAAGTGCATCCCTGCTGAGATATGCATCCCCTGCCGTGCATGGGAGCGCGCCTCACTCTGTACAACTACATATCAATGAGGAAGACTGATTAAAATATGACCAATGGAGCTATGTAGAAAACGTTTAAATATACCTCTCGTGGGAAAAAAATTGTGGTTATTTGACAGATTCATTTACACAAATACAGGTGTTATGAACAACATTGAATCCAAAGATTTTGTCCGAGGTACGGCTGATTTATTTGTTGTAGTCTCTTGTTTTTCACACACAACAATAAACAGTGATAGCCAACAGGAGTTTTGAAATTGCAAAGCTTGGTCTTAAGCGGAAAATCAAACGCACATCTACACAGCACAACGTTCATAGACCAGTGTGATGCATTTACAAGCGTTAGATAGCTATGGTGCATTCAGGCGCATGGGACATTTCATACTTACAAGGAAAGAGACATAAACGGAACAGGACTTAACTCATACAATAATGTATTTATTCAGAAACAGTGTGGGCTTTCCCATACTACTGAATACTCTATAATTTTATAGCTGTTATTTTTTGATTATGCACATCTGCTAGCTTTTTATTCCAAACAAATTTATAATGTTACAGCAGCAAATTATCAAAGTATTTCAAAAGCCTGTTTAAAAGCTCCAAATGAGGCTTCAGATCAGAAAGCGACAATTTTGCTGTCATTGTTTTACAAGCAGAATTTGCATTTGCTGACCCTTGTCCTTGAACTACTGATGGATATACAAGAATACAGTGTCAACTCCTCTGAGATAGCACGGGATGCAATTTTTGGCAATTTCAATTATTATTTGTATTTTTTTTTATTCAGTGTGTAACCACTAGTGTAACTTAGGAATAGATAAGCTGAGAAACTTAGATTTCAATGTTGAAGTTACAGTTAGTTTATCCTTCTAAGTTCAAAAAGGAGGATAATAAGCACAAACAACCATATTATCAAGAATGAACAGATTATTTAATACAACTTGAAACAGAATGTTACTGTACAGTTCTTTTTCCCAACATAAAGTGTCCACCTTTTTTATATCAGGCAGTGTATTTTCTTTTGGTTCAGATTCCTTATAGTTCAGTTCGTCCTTTGGAAGTTTTGTTTTGTTTTAGTTCAGTAATTTAAGTCAGTCAGTCAAGTCTTTGTTAAATGGCCATGTGTTTCTTTGGATTCAAAATCTTATCTTATCCAGTGCAAAGTAGGCAGCGGATCCAGCAGTCCCAGGTCTTGGGTTGAAACCTGGAGCTCAGCAATCCAATCCAGGCCTGCGATGCTGTGCAGCTGGACAGTCTTCAAAGTTGAATGGGGTTCTAAAAAAACCCACCTGCATATATATAGAACTTAATTAACTATTAAGTTTCAAAAGTATGCAGGAAGCAATAAATTCCATTTATCACAAAAATAATATTCAACTAATGGCAAGCTTGCAAAACAAACGTATCACACTGTATCCGACCTCTTAGTTTGTACATAACAAAAAATACAATACAGTGAAAATCATCATTTTAATCTCACACATTTCTCCGATTGGTATTATTTACGTTTCTCTGTTCTTCCTTGTCGGAATATATGAGCAGTAATGCCTGTGACGCCAGTTAGCATTAGCTTGATTTCGGTTGCAAAAACATGTTACAACACTCACCAGAGAAAATCACAGTAAAAATGTGTTTTACTGCCAGGGATCAGGTCACGGATCTTCTTTTCTCTTAATCCTTACCGGAATTGATCAATAATTTATCTTATAGCATGCAGTAATTCCCACAACGTGCTACAGCCAGCTACGGTTTTCTTCTTCTTCTAATAATTTTCCGCTGTCTAAACCAGAGTGTAACTCACAAGCCACCTGCTGGCGGTTTCTGGTATGACAAGAAAACTCAAAATGAAAATATAAACTGAATTGCTGGGAACATTAAATAACAAAACAAAATCCTACAGAAATAAAATACTACTAACAGTATCACACATATACATGTGGGTTACATCCTCCCCCCCATTAATTGCATGCGTCCCTGCATGTCAACATCTCCTAAGCGTCAAATACAGGGGCATAAAAGTCACGTTCAAGGGCTATTTGTAGTGCTTTGTCTAAGCCACCAAGTAAAGACTGCATAACTACCACAAGTGGGTTTCCTAAGGATGGGTAGGTGAGTCTCTTGGGATGGGTTCTTTCTCTTGTTGATCTCCTTACTTCAACATTCTCTTCATGGTTGTCCGTTCCAATAGGGATAACAGTTTCAGATGTTTCAGGGTTGTCAATATCTATTATGACATGGTCTGGTGGTTGGATGGACATTCGAGGTGTGAGTGACTGGGTTAACTCACCCTTGAGCTGCTGCTCTTCTGATATGGTCTCCTTTGGCTCTTGTGGCTCAAATGGTGAAGCTTCAGGATTAAGTGATGGCACTGAAACATGTTCGTTTGTCACGTCCTGTTCTGTATTGTCAGTTTCTGTTCTCTCACTGGCAAGTTCATTTGTGTCCAACATTTGGTCTTCAGATCCAATTTGCATGTCTCTGTCCTGTTCATCATCGTTTCGGGTTCCAACATCAGTCAACATCTTTGTTGGAGGATAGTAATAATACTCCACATCTTCATCCTCGCTGTCCAGCAGCGAATCCTCTGGAACTTCATTTCCAGCACCTCTTTTTTTTGCACTTGACTGTAGTCTTTTAGACTTCCTTGTTTGGGTTTGTGTTATGGGCTCAGGTTGCTCTTTTGCAACTGACAGAAAACCACAGGGCAGCAACAAGTCTCTATGCAAGACTCTTTCTGGACCCACATCATCAAAGGGAGCTACTACATAAACACGGAGGTCTTCTATCTGTTTGATCACTTTGTAAACAGTGTTAGTCCACCTGTTGGAAATCTTGTGTTTACCACGGAGACCTACATTTTTCACTAACACACGATCTCCCACTTCGAGCTTAGACTCCCTCACCTTGTTGTCAAATCTCTGTTTGTTGTAAGAGGCAGTCTTTTCGCTATGTTCAATAGCAATTTTGTAGCTCTCTGTCAAACTGTCTCTGAGGCCTTTTACATACTGACTATGTGTTTCGCCCCTCCCAGTAGGCTTGTCGAGTCCAAATGCAATGTCAATGGGTAAGTTTGGTTGTCTTCCAAACATGAGCTGATAAGGTGAGTATCCAGTCGTGTCATTTTTTGTGCAATTATAGGCATGCACCAATGGCTGCACAAAATCTCTCCACCTTAACTTATCCTCTTCTTGTAAGGTGCCCAACATGGCAAGGAGTGTCCTGTTAAATCTTTCCACAGGATTGCCACGTGGATGATAAGGAGTCGTTCTTGTTTTTTTTATTCCAAGCAGATTGCATAGCTCTCTGATCAGTGTGGACTCAAAATCCCGGCCCTGATCACTATGCAAACGCTCCGGCAGGCCATAGTGAATAAAAAAATTATTCCACAAGGCTTTGGCCACCGTTTTTGCTTTTTGGTCAACTGTGGGTACTGCCACTGCGTACTTGGTGAAGTGGTCAGTAATTACAAGTATATTTTTTTACCCTTTTTCATCAGATTCCAAGGACAGGTAGTCCATGCAGACTAGCTCCAGCGGTCTGCTGGTACAAATGTTCACCAAAGGGGCACTGTGTTCAGCTCTGGCTTTTTGTCTGATGCACCTCTCACATGTGTGTATTTTGTTGTTTATGTCAGTGAGCATGCGTGGCCAATAAAAGCGTGCACGAACCAGATCTGTGGTGCGATCTACACCCATATGTCCCATACAATCATGTAGGCTGTCCAAAGCCTCATTTCGAAAAGTCCTCGGCAGAACTAGTTGGAAAGATGGTACACCATTTAGAAGTCTTTTCCGGTAAAGCACTTCATCTCTCATAACTAGTTGGTCCCATAGCCGTAACATGAGCTGGACTTCTCTGTCTTCCTTTTGTCGCGTCCTGTGAGGTGGTCTCCTCCCCCCCATTAACAAAGTTATGACCCTGCTGATGGATGGGTCTTTCTTCTGCTCTAAAGCCCAGTCACGTTGAGACATTTGTGGTAAAGGGCATGAGCCAGGCAAAATGTCTGTGTGGCTGTAATCTGGTGGAATAGCATTTGCATCAATAGCAACACACTCAATAAAGCCAAGGAAGGGCAACTCAGACTGTGGTTGAAATTCTGAGTGGACAATGTGTCGTTGGCATATTGCACGTACTACTTCTGGAGAAACAGTTACGTTCTGAGTGATGTCAGACATGAACCGGTCAATACGGTCGTCCTCATCTTTAGCAGAGTTGTCCATTTCATCTTGTACATGAGGTCTGCGGGAGAGACCGTCGGCATCTTGGTTTGATTTTCCAGCACTGTACTGAATACGAAAGTCAAAGGTGGCCAGTGCAGCCAACCATCTGTGACCAGCTGCATCTAACTTGGCGGACGTCAGGACATACACTATATTGCCAAAAGTATTTGCTCACCTGCCTTGACTCACATATGAGCTTAAGTGACATCCCGTTCCTAATCCATAGGGTTCAATATGACGTCGGTCCACCCTTTGCAGCTAGAACAGCTTCAACTCTTCTGGGAAGGCTGTCCACAAGGTTTAGGAGTGTGTTTATGGGAATTTTTGACCATTCTTCCAGAAGCGCATTTGTGAGGTCGCACACTGATGTTGGACGAGAAGGCCTGGCTCTCAGTCTCCGCTCTAATTCATCCCAAAGGTGTTCTATCGGGTTGAGGTCAGGACTCTGTGCAGGCCAGTCAAGTTCATCCACACCAGACTCTGTCATCCATGTCTTTATGGACCTTGCTTTGTGCACTGGTGCACAGTCATGTTGGAAGAGGAAGGGGCCAGCTCCAAACTGTTCCCACAAAGTTGGGAGCATGGAATTGTCCAAAATGTCTTGGTATGCTGAAGCATTCAGAGTTCCTTTCACTGGAACTAAGGGGCCAAGCCCAGCTCCTGAAAAACAACCTCACACCATAATCCCCCCTCCACCAAACTTTACACTTGGCACAATGCAGTCAGACAAGTACCGTTCTCCTGGCAACCGCCAAACCCAGACCCGTCCATCAGATTGCCAGATGGAGAAGCGCGATTCGTCACTCCAGAGAACGCGTCTCCACTGCTCTAGAGTCCAGTGGCGGCGTGCTTTACACCACCGCATCCGACGCTTTGCATTGCACTTGGTGATGTATGGCTTGGATGCAGCTGCTCGACCATGGAAACCCATTCCATGAAGCTCTCTGCGCACTGTTCTTGAGCTAATCTGAAGGCCACATGAAGTTTGGAGGTCTGTAGTGATTGACTCTGCAGAAAGTTGGCGACCTCTTCGCACTATGCGCGTCAGCATCCGCTGACCCCGCTCCGTCAGTTTACGTGGCCTACCACTTCGTGGCTGAGTTGCTGTCGTTCCCAAACACTTCCATTTTCTTATAATACAGCTGACAGTTGACTGTGGAATATTTAGGAGCGAGGAAATTTCACGACTGGATTTGTTGCACAGGTGGCATCCTATCACAGTTCCACGCTGGAATTCACTGAGCTCCTGAGAGCGACCCATTCTTTCACAAATGTTTGTAAAAACAGTCTGCATGCCTAGGTGCTTGAATTTATACACCTGTGGCCATGGAAGTGATTGGAACACCTGATTCCAATAATTTGGATGGGTGAGCAAATACTTTTGGCAATATAGTGTATGTTAAAGGGTTATTGTCCGTCACAACAGTAAACTTGGCACCATAGAGATAATCGAAAAACTTGTCCGTTACTGCCCATTTTAGGGCAAGGAACTCCAGTTTATGTGTTGGGTATCTTTTTTCACAGTTGGACAGACCCCGGCTTGCAAAAGCTATTACCCTCAGATGCCCATCTTGCTCTTGGTAAAGAGCTGCACCAAGTCCATGAATGCTTGCATCCGTATGAAGGATGTAGGGCTGTTTAGCATCTGCAAAGCCTAAAACTGGAGCTGTTGTCAGTTTGTGTATCAGAGTGTTGAAGGATTCGTCACAGTTTGCAGTCCACTTATCAGCAAAAGGTCTCCTTGGATCTATAGTAGAGCTGTGCTTTGTTCCTGCTCTGTTAGACCTTCTGGGGGGGTAACAACCTGCAGTGAGATCATTTAAGGGCCTTGCGATTTTAGAGTAGTCCTTAATGAACCTCCTGTAATAGCCTGCAAACCCTAAAAATGATTTGAGCTCTTTTATGTTTCTGGGTTTTGGCCAGGTGGTGAGGGCAGCTATTTTTTCAGGGTCAGTCTCCACGCCTTTCTCTGAGACAATGTGACCGAGATATTTAACAGACTTCCTGAAAAAATGGCACTTTTCCGGGGAAAGTTTGAGTCCAAATTCTCTGAGTTTTGACAGGACACGCATGAGGCGCTCCTCATGCTCCTCCAATGAACTTGAGAACACAATGAGGTCGTCTAGAAAGACTAGGACCTCTTTGAGGTTCAGACTTCCCATGCACTTTTCCATAACACGTTGAAATGTGCTAGGCGCATTGGTAACTCCCTGGGGCATTCTATTAAACTCCCAAAATCCCACAGGAGTAACAAATGCTGTCTTATGTTTGTCACTTTCCACAACCTCAACTTGATAATATCCAGACTTTAAGTCCATAACAGGAAACCATTTTGAGCCTGTTAAGGCTGAAAAAGCTTCTTCAATGTTTGGTAGGGCGTATGCATCTTTGATGGTTTGATTGTTTAATTTTCTGTAATCGACGCATAACCTAATGGCCACGTTTTTCTTTTTAACCACCACAATCGGTGATGCGAATGGACTCTCAGATTCACGAATAACATTAGCCTCACAAAGTTCTTTTAAATGCTGTCTGACAGCTTCATAGTCCGAGGGGTGTATAGGTCTGGGTCGTTGTTTGAATGGAGTTGCATCCGAAAGTCGAATGTGATGCTTCACAGCAGTTGTGTGTCCATAATCCAAATCATGCATGGCAAAAACATCTGACATTGAGTTGAGCTTTTCCATAATTCTCTGCCTCCATTCTTCGGAGAGAGGAGTATCAGTTAAGTCAAACTTAAGTGGGCTGCCTGTGGTGGTTTTGATATTAT